GCTGGAACAAATTCTAGTTTTTTTTTATAAACTATTAATAATTTAATACTCCGTAACCGAGTGGTTCGCACGCCGGTTTCAAGATGACGCCATCTTTGAGGTCCCGGGTTCGATCCCGGCCGGGCTCATATTATGGAGTTGTCACAGATACTCCATAATACGAGATGTGATGTTGTTATATATTTATTTATTTATTATAAAACTCCTTTTCGAAGCTCATTTTCAAACAAACTTCTGAGATCTGTTGATTGGCCGCGTTTCACGATTGTACAGTCTGAGTTTCTTAGGCTGTTTAGTGTACTTTTTTTATATTAGGGGTAAGTTTTTCGCTCATTTTTGATAATGTCACAATTTTTCTTACTTTACATTTCCCCGCTGAGTACTGAATAAGAATACTTCAACATACTGAAATATCAAGCTTTTGAAAGCTCTTGCACACATTTGTCACGACCTCGAATACTTATCTAACAGTCGCGCACACCCACCGTTCTGGGCCGTCGTGTTGGGTTGTAAACTGTATAATATTGCTGAAGGTATATATCAGTCGCCTCTTATCCCTCAAGTTCTAACAAACGAACGAGAAAATAACTTTATGTTATTATTTATATAGCCGAGATACTGGCAACCTGCCACCTCTTTGCGGGACAATCACCTGATGCACCGTATGAATCTCAAACTCAAGCACTTGGCAACTGTGACTCGATGTGCAATCTAATGTTAATGTTGTGTTACATCTAAAAGTTGAGTCAAGCTTTATGAGATAATAATGTTAATTACATTATTATGTAACAATCAAAAGATTTCATGAGTTTTTTGCCAGTTATATTACAACTTCTGGCGACATAAAAGGTTCAAAATTTATTATATCCAGGTTTTGTTCTTTAAAAAAGAGGTTCGATTAGGGTTGACATTTTAAGTCCGAGTCTAGCGTAGCCGTAGCACGGTTAATACATTTTCAGCGCCCGTCATTCTCCACCCGGGTTAATTATACGATGACTTGACAGTACATTTATCCCTAGGTAGCCTATATTTAAGTTTAGATAGAATTATCCGTATACCAAATTTCAACAAAATCCGTTCAGTATTTTTTACATGAAAGAGTAAAAAACATTATTTATTTTGCATTCATAGGTAATAATTATTATATATTATGGTAGGATTAGTTGACCCTCCCACGGCCGACGCTCGGCTCGACCCGACACGGTCTAGCGTGAGTCAACCATAAAGCGTGGACTATATTGTAATCTGGCCTGCTCTAACTTACTTATTTTGAAATTACTTATTAGGAGAGCTCGATGAAGACCACGATATCTTAAAAAGTTGCGGCGTGAGATCCTGATTTTATATTTCAAGGTTGCTCTGCAATTTTAGTTTATGGCTGGGTAACAATTGATTTTATCTAATCTGGTATAATTAAAAATAGTTACTGACTGACCAATTAATATATAAATTCATTGGTTTGAGAAATTTGACAATTTTAACAATAGTCGAAAGGGTTTTCAAGCGGTTCATCTTAAATTTAATTGCTATGTTCAATATTTATTGGAGAAAAGCCTTTTGTTATTGTACTAGGACCAATTCTATATTTGAATATCTGGAAAATATTATCGAAATCTAGAATAAGACTTCTTGAATTTTATATTCGCTTATTTTTTAATTACTTTTAGTTAAATATAACAATTTATAAATGTTTTTATGGCGTTTCTTTTTTAAAAATGATTACATTCTCAAATGTCTCAAATCAATACGTTTCTATGGTATTTTACATGACATGGTGGTTAAATAAAAGTAATGTCTTGAACTTAGTAACCATAAGCATATATATTCATTTTTGTCTCTGCACTTAAAGTGGGCACAGCAATAATAATTACAATGATAAGTATCGACACATCACATAGCATCCGTGAAATCAAGGATCCAATAAAGATTCATGACATTTTCCATCTATATTGTTAAGGAAAAACCAACAATATCACTATTATAAAAGTGGCGGACCTTTCTCAAGGTCGCTTTTGAAGATGGGTGATTGAAATTCTCTTAATACGTTTGCGGTTTTGTGATATTTTTATGAATCAGCTTCAGGCTTATCTTTTCACGGGAGATATCGAGAATAATGTTATTTATAGAATAGGGAGATTACTTTTTAAATTATTCAATATATGAGAAAAAATGTAAATTATCAATAAGTCCACGAAACTCGCGATCGGTTTCCGGATTCCCTTGGTCCATTTTAGAGATATCAAAATTTTTATCAAGAATAATTTAGAAAGTGATTACAGTATTCCATTTACCTATACAATTTTATATCTGGTTACTTTCCTCTACATTATTATTATAAACGAACTATTAGTCTATCTAGGTATTAAGAGCGCCTGTACAAAAATAATTGCCTTTCAATTGACTATTAATATATATTTTAATAAAATTTACCTCTAAAATTTATTCTATTATATGGAGATTTGAACACTAGTAAAATTTTATTTGTTTGTTAAAAAAACTGAAAACGATTTAAAAAAAAAATCGTACAACAAATCTCTCTTTCATTTGAAGTCGGGCATAGTCAATCCTCGCGAATTGTCTTCAAAATATTTAAAAATTTTGCTATAATATCTATCACCAGGCTAACATAATTGGAAAGAGTTTACAATGTATTCATAACTTTTCATTACATATAAAGGATAATATTGTGTAGTTTCAAAAGGTAAAATGATCTCTGTACGTTCGTTCATTACTGAATAAGGTCATATCCGCGACCGGATGTGCACAACCTTGACCGTCGCTGGAAGACATTGCTGTCAACAATAAGTCCACCCACTTGCATTAGTAATGCTCATTTGAAAGTCGACTCAACTCATATAAACTGGCTTATGGTTATGACGCGAGTCGTTTATGTAAGTAAGGACGAATTCTTGAAATCTTTAGCAATAACTATTGATGGTTATATATTCAGATTAAATTTTTAATTTGCTAGAACATTAAAAAGTATAACTTAGAGAAAAACATTATGATACTGTTTTTGACTGTACTTTAAAAAGTATAGTCGGCCACCGTAGATACAGGCAGTAACACCCGAGTGTCTTCAATAATTGATCAATTATCTCGCATTTCTTCAATTTCTTTTGTCGTTTACTATTTTCTAGAAATTGAAACACACTCTTGTCCTACATGACTCTAATTAATAAATCAAAATCATTGTTTAAATTTATATCATTATAAAATATAAACATAGTCACTGATAAAACATACTTGATTATCAACCAGTTGCACAAACATCAATGAAAATTCTCATTAGTTTAAAGCGACATTACCCATACAGATTTAACGTCCATTAGAGCTTAAAGGCGTCCTTAAACCTTAATGGATGTTTGTGCAACTGTCCGTATAACTATCACTACAACTATAGCTAGCTAGGGGTTAGACAAACAAAAGTATATTAATATTCGTAGAATAGTAGCCCGCATGCAGGTTTCAAATTATCGCATTATCTGTGGGGCCGATTTGATTCTTTGCCAGCTTTGCTATTGTGTAATAATAAGCCTCGCACTCGACGTCGAGCACAGCATTGTCACAGCACAGATGTTCAATGAAATAAAAAGTTTATATTTTTGAAGTCTGTTTTGTTTGATTGAGTCTCTATGCAGCGCTGCACGACGCCTATTTTGATTCATACTTTTTTGGTCAATGTAGAAAATTGCATTTCCTATTTTTCTCAGGTCTCCGGCTATTGTGGTAACTATTTAAAAACCATGATATTAATTTATAAATAACTTAGTCAATTTTCACGGATGTACATCCTTATATGGCTTATGACTGTTTTACTATGACATTTTATTGTATGACACAAGGTGACACAGGATAAGAATGCCAGTGATTCACTAATTACAACTAATTATTTAATTATTTGTTTAACCACTTGGTAGTATGAACAAAAGGACTAACGGTCTATTGCAAAAACGTCCATTAAGGTTTAATGACGCCTTTAAGCTCTAATGTATGACATATTTGTATGTGTAATGTCGCTTTCAGCTAATGACAATTTTAATAGACGTTTGTGCAACTTGTTGGGTCTTGAACATTGACATTTCCCTACATTGACTGTATCAGATATCCAAGAACAGAGTACTAGGCTGTCATAAACAAACAAGAATTGGTAAGGCATCACTTGTCGATAAGAATAAAACGAGACGAAATCTGCGCTCCCGTCAACAAGAGAAACAAAGGTACTGAGGATGGCATATTGTAGGAAATAGATTGTCAAAATCTATTATTTTTCACTGAATTACTCGGAAAAAGTCAACTCGCGCCTAAAATACAATTCTTAATTTAAAAATGCTAAATTTTATAGGAATCTTGGTAAATGGTAAATTTTTTAGTAGGATAAATTATCAAGACACTACATAATAAACTGAATCCATTCAAAGGCTTATATGACATCCTAATACACTTTGTTATCCTGGTACGTCAAGACATAACGCAATGCCTCCTAATATTGTATACAAAAATTTCATGGGAGCAAGCACTTTATTGCCAATAAATAAATTGCAAGCGATAAATTCCGATTTCATCACAGATTTAAAAACGGATGTTAATCCTTATCCTTAAAAAATCTGTCAAATAGATATTTGACAGATTTTTTAAGTATAGTCCAGTTCAGACGATTGTATCCAAGGTAAATTTTATGAAGAATATTTTTTTGTAAACCTGAAAAAATTAATTGATTCGATAAATTTGCTAGATTCAGTGTTTTAAAAACAAAAATGTCTAGTTATTTTAACTAAGCTTTACGTAAAGCTTCTGGAAATGTCAACCTCCTTTATAATTACTAAAAGTAATCATTCGATTTCTTAAAATCTGTTTCAGTTTTCAGATTCCAATCGTTTTATTCAATCATAACATGTTGGAATTTTTCAAAATACAGTAGTAGCAGGACCTGCGAGGTCATATGTTGTTATTTCACAAACTCATACTATAAAAGACGCGCTCATCTTAAGCACGCGTTTGTTCAGAGGTGACGCGACGCGTGGACGTGCGTTGAAAATAAGATAATATCGAAAACGAAAAAAATCACAACTCTGTAAAAGTGACGTCAAAAAAGTTTTAAATAAAAGACTTTATTCATAGACCTATTCAGTGTGTGGTTAAATTTTGTGGAGTGAAGTTGCGTGTTGAGAAATGTGAGTCATCTTTTTTATTATTTTTTATTTTATATTTTCAGGACAGTGGGCTAATGAATGGTGTGCCATTTTTTTTGTGATAATAATTAGTGATTTCTTTCTTTTCAAATTATGATAATAATTTTATTAAAATAAGTGTTTCAATACTTTTTAAATGCGGTTGATGTTTAAGTAATTTTTAATAGTTCAAAAAAGTTTTCATTTGATGTGTGATTTTTTATATTGGTATGTGAATGTGAGCACGCGTTGATATCTTTTATTTGGAACAGATTCACATATGCTCTCCAGCATTTCGCTGAGCTTAAATTAGACTATACAGGTTAATGTGACAAAATTAATTTGTAAGGGCATGGACAATTAGTAACTTCTTATAAAAATTTATAAATTTTAGATTAACGATTCTAAATTGATATTTGTTTGATAGGAAAATACACAAAAAAATCACCGGTTGTCCTGTTTGCGTATGGTTATGCGTATGGTTTGCGTATGGTTTGCGTTTGGTTATGGGCACTTCGGACTGAGAATTTCTGTAGGTTTTTTAAAATAAATAAACTGTTAACTGACCCATTTTAGGTTGTTAATGAAAAAAGTTATGTATAATATATAAACACAACAAATAACAACATAAACACTTTCTCTCAAATGGAAAAAAAAAATACTTAAAAATTGCAACCCGGAAAATTAAATAAGTTGCTTTAATATTAATAGAGCTTAAGTACACATAGCAGCATATAAGGTTACCACAATATTCAAATTTCTGCATACAATTTTGAACTTAACCGGAAATTCATTAAACCTTAATGTCCCCTTGATATATTGTTTAGAGTAATCAGACGTGCTGTCGATAAATTAGCTATTATATGCTATTATTATGATTTGTTGATTGGAAATTAATATTTATGCCTCGTTAATTATATAAAATACTATCTATAACTAAGAATGCTAGCTTTCTTGTTACAGTTTCAGCCGCGAAATTTACATGATGACTTACGAGTAACTCTACACTTATCCCCAAAGAAACGTTTAGTGAAATAAAAAGTTCCTATTTATCATAATTTTATCAAAAGCCGTTCAGTAGTTTTTGCGGGAAAGAACAACAAGTATCCATTCTCGTAAGCTTAAGCACTAGGTCTGGCTCGCGACTTCGCAGTGGAATTCGACCTCTTTTAAATTATTATAACAAAAACTAATCAGTGGTCTTCACGTGATTACGTAAAACTTGTATCTACGTAATAGAAATTAAGTAAATGTATAATTATACATGGGTTATTCCCCATACAAACCACTACCTCTCTTTTCACTCCTTTGTGACTTAACTTCCCCGATAACATCTTTTTCATCTTTATTAAAATAACCACAACAGATGAATGAGTTAAGCCTTTCATCAATCGAAAGTTAATTCCTACCGGATATAGGCTGCGTCGAAATGACGGACTAAAAATAGATAACTGGTCAACCTGGATAGAGGCAGTTTGCTAATAAATTAAACGAGTATTTATTTAAGTATATTTAAATTCATTAAAGTATATTTGTTTTTATTAACTTTAAAACGTGGTGAAATAAACAAAGGGGACACTTGCCGCCCTATTTGCTCTCGCGTAATTCAATTTAAGTGTTACAATGATCGTTACATACTTTTCATATTTTCGTTATTTTAAATAGTCATGAAAGTCATTTGTTATAACAATTCTATTTTTACTTATGAATTCGAAAACATTGATCATCCGGTAATTTCTGTGAAACATTTAAGGTCATGCACAGTGGAGTGATATGCGAGCGTAAGACTGAAAATATTGTCGTTGCTTTCTGTTAGCCTAGTAACAAACATAAGATGTCATCGTTGAGGTTTTGGAGCAGAAGCGGGTTACCTGACATTCGGGCACAAAATCACAGGAGGCAGTTATTAAATAGTCATTCGAGAATGATCACGACATATCATTAGTTTTCATTTCGTCAAAGGCAGTGTCAAAGGTTTGAAAGGTTTGCTTTACTATTACCATAGCTCGGTGTCTATTGAATTCTTTTTTTTTTGTTTACCGATATTTATGTTAAAACAGCTTAGGAGTTACGTGCTAATCATTACCACAACTATAGTAAAAGAGTTTTAATATAAATATATAGTTATGTGACCACAGTTTGATAACCAATAAGAGTTTGACTGTAAGGGCTTTCACGTTCGATAGCAAAGAACATTTAAACGCACTCCCAAATATATAAAATATTTGATCATTATACAAAAACGCAGACAAACATTATATTTTGAACTAAATTATCTTTCTTAACTTAAAACGTTAAAATACCATAGTAACAAACAGATTAATATTAGGTTTATAATACAAGTCCATAATAAACAGCCGTAGAGTTAAGACCAAAAGTCGTAATAATTATCGTAAATCTCGAAGCAATACGAATTCATTATTCATTTCCAAACATTTTTTTTAATATTATAAGCATTGTCAACTAGCTACTCATCTTATTGTGGGGCCATTCTTATGTTCATCATGTTAAAGTTCGAATTCGGTCAGATAGTATCTGACGTCATCCCGGATTTCAAGATTATGTAAATTCGTAACCTTAACAGCATTGTGAATAAATTTGAAATTATTTCGATCCATTTGATTCGTCCGAGTGAATTTAGATGTGATGATTTTTTTTGTACTTTACTCATTTTAACCTGATTGTGGTCAATGTGTAAACGAAACGTCAATAAAATAACATAATCATCGTCCAATTGTTGAAATTTAATTATAAATGATCTTTAACGTTCTATCGTTTAATGATAAATTTTTTTACGATTATTTGACATCTATATTTAAACTTGGAATATTATAAAGCAGAAGAGTTTATTTCTCTGGTTGAACGCACTTATCTCAGGGACTAATGGTTCGATTTAAAAAAATATAGTTTTGTATTGAATAGTCCATTTGTTGAGGTAAAAGTATAAGCTATATAATTTCACATTATGATTATGTAATGAAAAATGTTGCAACGAGAGCCACGTGGACATATTCGCTAGTTCAGTAATAATAAAATATAAAAACACCATATATATATTTCCAATATTTTCAAGTGTGTATGTTGCTTAAAACGTATTATTGAATTCTGAACAATAAAGATAACCCAGAACCGATCTAATAAGGAATTGATTGACAAATGATAACTACTTACGATTATCCTGTGAAAAAAACAAACTATTATATTAGAGTAGCCTTCGGCCTTATTAGTAGTAGCTTTATTAGTGAGTGTTAGAGAGAATATTGTTAAATATGTTTATTCTTTGTCGAGGTTAAAGTTTACAAATAACTATAGAATCTTTACACATACCTATTGTGGTAACAGACATACTGTAATGTATATATATATATATATATAGGTATAGCCACAACTATAAATGTACCTCCCACTCACCTTCTCGTAGTCACCAGATACCAGGCTATCACAAATTATTAGGAGGTCACAAATCTCTTTGCGTGGACGGGAGTATTGTATGTTAAATGAAATTGGAGTTTAGCTATTCATAACATAGCACGGTAAACAATAGCGTCATAATTTATAACGTAAAATTAATACATAACAACAAATTTCTCATAGTATGCACTGTTATAAAGTGAATGCTGATTAGTATGCGATGTTTACAAATATTTTCTTAACTTTGTTTGATGTTGATAGTGCAAAGAAATATTGTAGGCGGTTATTTGCCGCAAATCTGCACTTAATAGGTATCGATGTAACATAAACTGACTACTAATCGATTGACGTAAGATGAGGTAAAAGCTAACTTCATTTTTAGATACCTAACTTCAGTGATATGACACTGTTAATGTGCAAATATAGGTATGACACAAGAATCTTTCACAATTTTCAGTGTAGTGCGTAAAAACTAATTCACTTTAATGTCTGTGGCACAAACATGACCGAATAAAAGTAATTAATTATTTTCCGAATTTGGACTACCCCGCCCACCATAACGAATAAGATGCGTTAGTGAAATTAATTTTTTTCTACAGACGAGCTTCAGCGGATTTTTCTGCGCGTATAATGAACGTTTACCTTAAATTAATACGCTCTAAAGATTATATAAATAAAGCTAATTAACATAAGTATCAATACGTCACTGTAATACATGGATGTTGTGGTTGCTCTTAGTCATTCCGGTAATCCCGTAAGACATTACAAAACTGTTGTTAAGCAATCTTAACGGCGGCCCGGTTCGGGATGGGTCATCAATCTACGTTTCGATTTAAATATATTTTTTATCAATTTTCTCTAATAAGTTCGTACGAGGAAACAAATCGTATTTCATTATATGTAATGTTAATCTCTCAGTTACGAGTTTGGTTTTCGTTTGGTTAAGCCTATTGATGTTTCAATATTAACATTACATATTATAAAAAAAAACTTGTATTATCCTATGAATCATATATTCCTGGTAACAAACATAAGATATATTATTTGATCAATCAAGGTTACCTCCGTTTGTTCAATCGTATTGTAAACATGTGTACAGATATTGCGAGGCAGAGTTTAATATACATGCCTCCATCTAAGTCATAGAACATTACAATGCATTCCTCCAGAAAGATATACGATCAAGCTGAATTAATATAAAAACAAACACGCATGAAACTCACATTTCAAAAAATTACATAGAATTATTAGAACACAACTCAAATGGAAGGAAGTGAAGCGAACAAAGAGTATAAAGATATAAGCAAATTATCACACCTAAGGTCACAATTTAGTTTATCTATGACGTGTCAATGCATGTTTTACTTACTAGATAAGAAAATAATAAAAATATCTGTCACCAATCTATCATTAGGTTGACTTCTGCTAACTATATAATGCTATTAATATTGAGCCGCAAGCAGAGAATGCAGTCGTAAAACACTGTCAATAAAATCGCCATTGCGCATTGGGGTGATGATAACATTAAATTATGTCAATATTAGTATAGAATATGGCATTCCATGTCTCGCTTTGTCTGTACGCGGGCTAAA